CCTTCCGAGCCTTGAGGCTCCCCATGGGCCTCTATGGCTTTAGGGTCAGCCGCCACTATTCCTTTCTTCAAGTATATACTTTGAAAGCACCTAGGTGACGCTTTGGGAACTTTGGCCGGTGACTCAAGCGCTTGAACTGACCTTTCTTCCGTGTCAGGTTCCTCCTTGACTTCTGTCTTGACCACGTTGCTCACAAATCACCAGCCGTCATCTTCCTCCTGTTCATCATCTTCTGATGTCTCTCCCCCTTCTACAGGAGGAGAGGGTGGGCACACATGATATGCCCTGCACTCTGGATGAAATGGTTGAGCATCGCAACTCTGAGCTGCATCGACTGGCAGCTGTCCTGGGCATTCTTGCCAAGTGACTTCTGCCACCAGTGGGCGTGCTGATGACGCTGGAGGCGATGTGGGTCGCATGTTCAGACCCGGCCACCTTGTCCAAATGTGTTTAAACCGTTGCAATTGCGGTGCATCCTGAAAAACGGCTGCGGAAGTGCAGACTCACACGACATGCCAGCAAGTTACTTGTTGTCGGCTGAAAGAACCTGGAATTTGGGGAATGAGGAAAGTGCCGAATATTGACAAATCCGGCACTTTTGGTAGAGTCAAGAATGTTCGTGAAAACAACAAGCTCAAGCACAAAGCGACAAAACTGAAATCTAAATTCTCGAGATCTGTCCCCATCTCTCCTCGGAATTGGCTGGCGATCATGGCCTCCTTCGTGCACGGCCACTGTTGTTGCCCCGTATGTTGGCTGCCTGTTGAACAATTTGGGGACGCGGCTGACGTGGTCTTGATGCTTGTCGGGGTCGTTGTGGTCGTTGTCCTCCCGTGTAAAAAGGAGGTGGAAGCCTTGCACTGGCCCTCTAGCAAAAGATGTGTAAGCGAATCTCGCTGCTCTCGCTGCCCATTCTACCTTGGTGACTTCATGTGACTTCTCTGCGAACCTAGTAGGGACTTGCTATGCTACCCAGTATCGCCGCCAGTGCGCACTGTCAGTTCCATGAAGTTGGCAGTGTCTGTGTGCAAGGATGTTATGAGGACTGTGTGTGTGTGTGTTTGCGCCTATCGCGCAACTTCCTCGGCCATATTGAAAAGGAAGATCAATCTGAATCAATCTATGGGGTTTTGGCTGATACCCAGTCACCACGACGGCGAGTGAGTCGGTTGGGGTCGATTGGGCCGATGACGAGGGATATCCCTTTGGAGAGCTTGCCAACCTATGGGAGAATTCCACCCTATAGGCTCGGGTCATGGACGCCGAGAATGGGCAGCTAATACATTGGTTGGACTCAAAAGTGTTCATGCTATGTCTTTGAATGCTACAGCGCTGGAGATCTTAGCCGCATGGTGGGTCAAGGTGATGACCGTTGCGAAGCCACCCTCTGTTGATCTACTGAGGAGGGAGGCCTGGGCTCCCACAACAAAGATCATCTTTCAATGATTTTCTGTTCCGCCAAGGGCTCAATTGTCTTGATAGTGGCTGCGTGCAAGCAATCTATTTTGTTTACAGAAAGGCCTGTTGTGGGCGGCAGAAAATTGATACAAGGAAAACTGATTGTTCATGGAAGCAAAGGTTCAAGGGTCGGACTGCAACAAGCGAACCTTGTTTTCTATCAACTACAAGGTCTGCTCCTTGTTTTTCCTTTCCCACTCTCACTGTTCTCATAAACCAAATGAACTTGGCCACACAATGGAACTCAAATCAAAATCTTACAATAAATGTTGCTACCCAACTGCCACCCCTTCCCCGTCCTATGATGTTTCTTCCATCAAGCAGTGGTTTTTGGAGCCTCAGCTGCAGAATTTCTCATTGGACAGTCAGTGAAAGCAATCCCTATTTTACGGGACACTGATGACACTGGAGAGACAGAGGACGGCGCATGTGCTGGGCGACGCGTGGACCTGAGTGGTGGCAGTGGACTTGACAAATTGCTCTGACACACTGCCAACTCCTGAGCGGCCAAGTGTAGGTGCTGAACAATTGGGCGACACTCTTGAAGATTCCCCTTGGTCAGCGGAACAACGCAGGGTGGGAAGTCATGTCGTTTCCTCCTCCAATGCAGGGCCAAGGTCTCTAAACCATAAGGGCAACACTTCCACAAGATACTTTGGATCCAGTTCAGCGCCGGCTATACTTGCCTGTAGTAGACCATAGGTTGGCCTTGCAACTTCTCCGGCTTTGAGGCCAAGGTAGCGCGCTGGGGCAGAAAACCCCAATGCCCACGACATCGTCCCAGTGAACCTCTGCAGCGCTTAAATCAATGGCTTGGTCTTCAAGCTTGCAAAAGCTCTCCGTTCTTCTAGTTTGCTTGCCGTCACCGACACTGTAACTGTCAAGCGTTCATTGTCCACGGCGATCTTTGCACCAATCCACTCGCCTTCTGTTCCCAAAGTGCCCTTAGGCCAAGCAAAGCGCAACCCCACTGCTGACCACCCCATCAACGCAATGTTGTACAAGCTTGTAAGTTGCTGCACTGCGCCTCTTCCCACCAACAACGGGTCATCGACAAAGATCTGCGTTCGACGCCTGTCTTTATGAAGCACTGCGTAGATCTGGCTATCAACGCAGCTATACGACCCCAGACTAAGTGCCCAGTTCTTTTGCCGAATAGCACTGTGTTGCACACAAAGTATCCACCAAGCGCTGTTCCAGCAAGATACCTCATCTCATTTGGGCCTCACTCGTAGATGTTTGAAAGTATCTGCAAAATCCAGGCTCATAAATTGAACCACTTCTCGACTCTCTTTGACTTCCAATCGTCTCAGCGTGTCTTCTACAGCGTCCTTCAAACGCGGCAACTGTCAAACTCGATGTGCTCACATGACTCCGCCTAAACTCGTGCACCAGTCGTCCTTTGACTGATCAATCAAGCTTGATCTTTGCAATGTAGCCAATGGATGGTTGCACCAAACAACCATGCGTCTTTTCTAGCTCTGCTTTGTTGTTACTCCAATGTACGAATCCTTTCTCAAGTTCTTTTCGGAACAAAGCATCGGCAGCATCCTTAGACTCCCCACCGGATTTGTAGCTGTAAAGTGCCCCGTGCAAGGCTTCAGCGAGTCCAGCTTCCTCTGCTCTTCCCAATTGCTGTCTTCATCCAGAGGTGGAGATATGTGGAAATGGTCCACCTGGATGAACCTTGTTCTCTATTCCCAGCGGGGTTCCAAGCCGTGGCCAGGTTGCGGCCTCCATGTCAGGGTCTCGACTAAGCTGCACCAACTTCAACAACGACCCCCAGAGCCCACGCTCATGGCTATCGCAATGAAACAAATTTGGCAACTTTTGTCTAAGCCAGTCCAACTCATGCCAATGTTGAAATTGCTAATCACAGCCAACCAATGTCAACTGTGCCAACTGTTCACAACGTATTGTTGCTGTCCACAATTTCACTGCATCTAGCTGAAACAAGTTTCGCTGGCTCATACAACCAGATGTAGGAGCTCTCCAGATTCTCTATTAATAATCAAAGCCAACTGTGCTGATCTGGACGCCAGCAGGTTCTCTTCGCAAACCTTGTGTGGCTTTGGATGAAAATCTTCTGGATCCTTCTGGTTCTTCTGCACTGGGACCTGGCGGACGAGCCGGTGCTGCTTTTGCCGAGTTCGTGGCATACAGCATTGCCAATATCTCAAACTCTTTCCCAAATTTCAGCATTGCTCGCACTGGCCCGGGTGACTGAATTCGAAGGTTGGCTTGAATTGTCGCTTGACAATGCTAGGTGGTTTGCGTGGCACGCCTCCCGTTTCCTGCCCTCCTGGACCCAAAACTCCGTCCGGCAGCGAATGTCAGCGTGTGCAGCAAGATGCCAAATGTCTGGGTGCAATGAAGACCCTGGCTCTAAACTCCGAGGTGTAGCGATCCAATGTTGCAGCCGTGGCCAACTCTGTCATCAACGATGCAGTCCGATAAAGATCCCCCAGGCTTCCTCCCAGGAGTCGAGGCTTGAGGCCCCTGTTGGCCGTCTCGCCACTGTGACTCACAAACTTCATTGCCCTGGCCAGCCTCTCACCATGTGGACCCCAAACTGCCATATCAACGAATGGTGTCTGTCCCGACTGAGGCTTGTGGTAAAGGCAGGTCAACTGTGAGTCTGTAACTTCTTCTTTGTCCAGCGGATTGTCACCTTCATGCCCACAAGCCTTGCATGCATCTTCTGCTGTGTTGCCAATGGTAGCATCTCCAAATCGAAAACAGAACCTTGATCTATAACTTGATTCCTTTTCAACTTCAACTTCATGCTGTGTGCTCCTCCTGGATCACCACTGCTTGTTGCACCAACATCTGCACGCGTCAATGTAGGAGCTGTAAACATCGACCGCCCACCAAGCCTCATGCAAGTTGCACTGACCATCAACTTCCACTGGGCCTTCTCGGCCTCTGTGAGTTTCCGGGTCCCACGAGTTGCGTCTTGAAAAGCCTGTTCAACTACAGCTAGGATCTGGAGGGAACTGAGGTTCTGATCCCCCGCCGGCAGGCAGATTTTGTGAGCCTGCGCAGTCGAAATGCACTTGGAGGAGTTCGAGAGGCATGAATGTACTGTAAATAGCAGTGAATTAGCCGGACACACCCGCGCGGCACACCTATCTAAGCACACCTGCTTTACACCTACCGTAAGAACCCCTAGTGTGTCCACCCACACTGTTTGGGAAAAACATGCACTATCATACTATCATACACCAATAGTATGACTGTTGCAAGTATTGTTAGTTTTAGATACCTCAAAAATGGAATAGCCACATATAGCCACTTTAAAACAGGTGGGTGCTCGGAGACTTTGGCTGGTGCGGCGCGCGGGCAGTGGATACTGTAGGTTGCAATCGGTTTAGATGCATGTTGATACTTCAAATAATATATCCTATGACTATACCGACTATACAGTTGTTGTATGTTGTTGTTGTTCCGCATTAACCAGCTCAGCCTCTTTTTGGAGTCCAGATCAACCGGAGTCATGCGCTGGTCAGGCTTTCCAACAACTCGAGACTGCTCCAAGCTGCTGTTGGTGATGCAGAGCCCCACGGAGTCCGGCGCCGCCCTGGTGAAACAGAAGGGGCCGCCGCTCTTTTTGCGAAACTGGAGGGTGCTCCAGGACGGGATGGGGCGTCAATGCGGGAGTGGTATGTCAAAATGTTGAAAGTCGCGAACTACACAAATATTGAAACATGCATGCATACATGTGTTTAAATGTCATTCTCCCCACTCAGCAAAGTGTTCGAGTGGGGAAGTCGTCACATCAAACACAGGCAACACGCTCACATCCAACGTTCCAGACATGAAATGGTCGGCAGGTCAAGTAGATTGGCTCCATTAGGATGAAATTTCCAGCCACGCACCGCGAGAAAAACTCCCAAGGGTATGTTCACTAAATGAGTTTCGCTCACGACACGTTGGAGGTTCGCTGCTCCTTCTGCCTCAAAAGCTGGCTGCTGCTCCCGAAGTCTTCGTCCGAAAGTTCGCCAGGTCGATTTTCGCACACACCAATCTGACCAGAACCCAACGTTGGGCGCTCCCAAAAGCTTTCTTAGCTTTCTTGCACTTGGATGAGTGGTTGGTATGTTCAAATGTCTCAAGGCTTTCACCTCGACCCGGTCGGAGGCACTTGAGACAACTCGGTCCTCTTTGGTCCAACACTCCGTGCCACTCGGGTCCCCGACCGGTTCCACGACGCGCTCGGCGCCGCCCACCTCGACGCCCGACCCTCATAGAGCTGCTGGAGGCCCTTACGCCAGGGCCGCCACGGCCTGGATGAAGAGCCTGGACCGGCTGTGAAAAAGCTCCTCATCTACATGGTGATGATCCAGGTTGGGGAGTTGCCGTGCGCCTATGTCCAGCAAACCGCGGTTTCAAGAAGAAGAGGAAGAAGAAGAAGGTGAGACAAGTAGGAAAGCCAATACTCAGAAATCAGTTCAGGAGACCATTCTAGTCCCTTCGAGCCCCTCTGCATCTACCCGGTATGGTCCTTGTGGTGTGCCTCTGCGGCCCTGCCCAGTCACCTGGAAAGAGCAGGATTTCTGTGGCCGGATCTGCGATGCTTTGAGGCTCTTCCTCTACCTGTCGTCAGGGTATCGTATATGTTGTTTTTGCACATCATCTATGAAATCCATACACAGGGATGCAAGTTGTGGTGTCTAGCTTCCACCGCTTGTCGTCTGCTACACTTTTCGGAATCCTGTTGAACACTGTTCCCGGATGCCTTCAAACAACAGAGAGTTACCCGCATTTCACCAACCCAACACGTCAAAACCGGGCCTCACATCTCAGGAACAAGGAGAGAAAAAATCCCAACCTCTCGCAGGGATACGCAGTGAGATACTGTTGGGTCTGTCCTCTTTCCAGGTTTCAGTGGATGATGATGGTTAGGCTGCAGGCCTTCCTCTAAGATAGTTATAAAATGTGTTTACTGGCTATTGCTATTACAGGTAAAAAGGGAGAGGCCCAACGCAGAGATACGCAGAGTCACGGATGGGGATGTGACTCATCAAAACCTGATGGTTTGCACCTGCGCATTCAATCAGTCTACCAGCACTTGCTGCCGGCTGAACACCTTTCACCTTGCCGGAACACCGCCCGCCCGCACCTGCCACCGACCTTGTGCCACCTGCTGCACCACCATGGCGCGTGCGTGACGCACGCGTGCGTGACGCTGCAGGGAAGCTGCAAGGAAGCAAGGCCAAGCCGGGTGGGATAAAGGTCTGATCCAGAAGAAATTCTCCGAGCATCCAGCGGTTCTTGCGAGCAGCTAAGAGAGCAGCTAAGGGACTCAGCTAAAGGACCTGGTGAAATGTGCCCCTGGACTCAGCAAATAGTCAGATGATGACAGATCCATTGATATGATACATATTGATATTACCTTCCTCTCATGTATTTCAGGATGCTGTTCTTCCAACAATGCTCCAGTAGAATCCCTTGCAGCCTACTACTAGAGTTCAACATAAACTGTTCCCCCCCTGTGAAAATCTACCTGGCCCTTGGCCAAAGCCATCCAATTTATATACCGTATATATATACACACAGTATATAGTCGTCTGTGCAGGACGACTAAACAGGGCAAACGCCAAACGCTGCTTTTCCGTGGAATCGTGATGGCACCAAAACACCAAAAGACCCAGACCGGCAAATCTTGCCATTCAAGTGCCTGTAGGATTGCATGCTTGTATAGCCGTATAACTTGCTGTATAACCCAGACTCTTCCCTATGCCTGGCTTGCACAATCTTTGGGGAAATCATCTGGACTGGAGGATCATTCCCACTCTAATCACTTTAGGAAGGAAAGCTTGAGATTTGTGCTGTTCAAATATCTTTTGTTTTCTGGTGAAAGAATTTCATTCAATACGAAGGCGACATCTTTGGCATGCTCAACTGAGGCTTTGGTGCCACCAGGCTCGCACAGCGCCCTGGCTCCCCAAAACCGGGCTGGTCTAAAGATCTCTGTAGCTACCCTTTTGGAGAATTGCGTCTCTGGTGAGGCCTCCATGTTTGCTTCAGCACCAAGCACTGACCTCACCACCTTCCAGGGCCACCCGGACCTTCCAGGGTCTTCTTCTCCTCAGCAGTGGGTGGCACCACCATCGCCTCATCGCGCAGATGGCTCGGGGCCAGGGCTCCTGGCCTCCGAAGCAGTGGGGTGACTTGGCCTGTCCTCTTGCTGCATTCGAGCAAGACCAAACGGCCAACTGCCAACCCTGCTTCTGGATGTTCACGCATCAAATCACAAGGCTACCCAAAAATCCCAAAGCGTCCCTACCCATTCACCTCTCCCGCAGACAAGGCTGCGCCTTCTTGCCGTTGAGCTCGGGAGCCTTCGCCAGGCCTCGAATGATCACCTCATCCCCAGGCCTCGGTGGGTGTCGCACCGAAGCCTCCTCTAACGACCCCATCCACGGCTGCAGGATTTCGGTGGATGGATTTGGGGTGAGACAGTCATCCGATGCATCTGGGCCATCGGTGTCATCATCTGAAACCTCCTAAAAGCCATCCTAAAACCTCCAATATAAGGGTGCCATGGGATCGTCTGAACAGTGCTGGGAGGATCAACCATCTGAGACAAGGATCTGAAACGACCACTTCGAAGAGGAAGCAGCACTCACTCTGGGCCCAGGCTCTTCCAGACCCATCTCCGAAGAATCGACGGCACCGTGTCCGTGATCTGGGTATGTATCTCTCTCTCTCTCTTTGTCTAATATATATGTATATGTATATGCATATGTATATTAATACATAGAAGACTGACTCATTGCGACTGAGCGTGACAAGGCAAGAGGGTGTCCAAAGGCATTTTGCCTTGGCACCATGAAGAAATCAGACAAGACCGAAACCTCGGAACACCCTTCCAACCCCCGTGGGTTTGGTTCGGAAGATGGACCAAAACTCACCCATGGGTGGGAGGTCCCCCAAAAAATACCTACACACCCCAATGGATCATGTTTAACGCCGTTGGCATGAACCAATGGACCGACTTGTTGCTGACCCCTGCTGACAGGTGTGTGGTGTGTGTGTGGGAGGGAAACACCAGCTGTTCCAGCTCCCACCATGCAAGCCTTTAAAGGGGAAATATTTTATCTATATATAATTGTAAGAGGTGCTCTTGCATCAAACCCAAGTGAATCAAAACCAATTATTCTCAGCAAATAGCATAAGCTCGGACGGCACGCCAACACCTCATGTGTATATATATATATATATGTGATAATAAACAAAAAAACACTCACATGATAACCCTTGAAGGAGAAGAACGAACACCTTTTCAGGTCTTCTTCCTCTCGAAAGTTGGTTGCCCAGGCCATCGACGGAAAGCCCTTTGGGGTCATCTCCCTGATGTCGCTGACTGGGCCAGCGGCTTGTACTGTGGAGTTGCTGGGCGAGGCGGCATCTGGGCCGCGCACGCGCGACGGGGTTGAGTGTTTTGGTCCGAAAAAGCTCCACTTTGGGTGTTCAGAAGATGGTCCATCAAAGATTGCTCGATCCAACTCGGTCCTCATCACTGGCAGGGGTTCGAAACAGTATTTCTGTCCCTTTTCGTCTCTGCCATTGACAAATAACTCACCAGTTGCAAATGAAATCCTGTGGCGTTTGCACTGGGTATCTGGGTATTTCTAGAATTCTTGGATGATCTATGCCTCAGCACCAATGTCCATGCCCATGTTTGACAACTGCTATCGAATCCATTAACACCCTGGCTGGCATGGAGCACCAGAAGCTCCACTCCAGCGCTTGGGATGCGCTCACCGTCTTCACCGCTGAGCACAACATCAGAAGGATTCATCAAAGAACCACGATCTGATCAACGGCTTACAGCCTGGATTCTGGCTGCTGGGTCCAGTGAGCAGTGAGATGCAATAGAGGTGGTGGAGAGGGAGAACTGGGTAAGGAGAAAGATATACACCCTGGAAGACGATCCCATGGGCCCTGAAAACCACTGGTTGGTAGAGGAAATCAATCTTCCAGGAGGCCAGACAGCCAGGGTCCATATTAGTTTTCCGGAGTGTAATCATCATTCAGAAAATAATCCGTTGGTCAGATTGATCGTGGGGAAGTTGATCATCAGGATCATAGCTCAATCTGATCAACTTCCCCACGATCCGCGTTCCCATGGCAGCCAGTTGCCCCAAAAAGACTTCTTCTAAGACGAGCCTTGTCCTTTTACCAATGCCAACCACCTCCCTACAGCGTCTTTGTCGGTGCCCTCGAATCAAGCTTCACTCGCCTCCTGCTCTCAGTTTGGATCAGTTCACTCCAGTATTTCTTTGACTCATCCACAACGTGTTCTTCCTTCGTTCAGATTTTGCACGAAGAAATCTTCTTCACCACCCACTCACACTTCACTCCGTCTCAGGTCTCACTCCATCTGAGAGGCCCTACGCCTGGCATCCCGGGGCTCATCTGATTCATCCAGGCCTGGACACCTGGCCGTTGGAACGCCGCGGCGTTGGAACGCGAGTGCGCAGGCACAGACTCCGATTCTGTGCGTCATAACGGCGCTCAAAAACAAAACATCGAAAAGCGTCATACGAGTGACCAAGAAAAAACAATATATATATATATATATTTGCGAGGTTGAGATTCAGATCGATGTTTGTATTTGCATATAGAGAGAGAGAGAGATCCTTGATATGGCCCTTATCGATCTCTGATTCTGAGTCAGCATAGGACAGCTACCCTGACTGCTAGCCATTGCTCTTCATAACGCATGTCAGCACTGCATACTGTACGAGATAGATGTAGAATAGGTCAAGAGAGAGAGAGAGAGTGGGGGAAGGGGATCTGTCGATTGCCAACCATCCAGCCTGAGTTGTTCTGGAACACCGACCATAGTGACCAACACACTCTTCAAATAAACATGAGGAATCGAAGTAGACCAGTGAACAGTTGACTTCCAAGAACGTCAACGGAACAGTGGCCTTGAAATCAAAAGCCTCACAAATCTCACAAGTCAAGTGCAGGATAAGGTGGCTCTCCCTCGATTTTTCATCTAGCGCAAGTACTCCCAGTTAAGGTTCCCGCTGGCCTTGGCTTAGAGAACGACACACGGTCGTTCCTTCGATTTCCGGTGCGGCGTTTCGGTCGGCCTCCAGTGGCTCTGGAGAACTTCTCAAGAATCCTGCAGCTGGGCGTCTCGGTATTCAAGGGCTCTTCTACCCCATGAGTAAACCGACGAACGTCTCCCAAAATGAAGAAATGAACCGAACGAACTTCCTGGATTCAATCCCAGTGGGCAAAGGTAAAGACACACAGCACTCAGAACCTAGGTCCTTTGGACACAGAGGGGGGTCCACTTCCCACATGTGTGACGATTCGTACTCGAGCGATCGCACCGGTCGAACGACCCGGTCAAATCGATTTCGGGAACCGCTGCAAACAAAGGGACTCGTGGACTTCTGTTGTTTATCTATCCATGCTTCTGTCTTCCCAGTTCCCATATATTAACCTTCAGGATCATTTGAGGCTAGCCATGACGAACACTGGCTGGTGCATGTTCCAAGGAGTCGATTCCGCGAGATTTGCCTCGGGTGCGGCTCAGAAAAATGCCTAAAACAATGAGCTTGCTCCAAATGCCAATTTCTCCTTGGCCACCTGTCACTGGAAACACCCGCCACCCTCACCGATGCAGTAGCCTCTCATCATTCTCGTATTTCTTCATGGCCGAAATCCCGTTCTTCTGCACATCTTCGAAGAAATCCTGCGCCGAGCAAAGCGTGGCACATACAGCATAGAGCACATGTCTAGCATATCACCACATAGAGTTGCAGCAATGTCGCACAACAACAAAGAACTCGGTAATTAACCTGTAAGAATCATTAGTAGTGGCAGCTTTGGTTTTACCCTTCTTCCCCAGCACTTTACCCCAAACTCAATTTGATATCTTGCACAATCCAGTGATGCTACACTCATGGCCAGTCCTGCATGCCGGATTCACCGGTAGACTAGTGAGGACAACCATCCAAGATTCTATTCGAGCGCGCGGCATGATGAGCAACATGGAAGTGGACATGAACCCATCTCCTATTGAGACCACTTAATCTGCTTGCCTAGGATGACTAGGAGCGCACGTCCTAACAATCTTTTGAATGCCTCAAAGGTCCTGGAGACTGCCTACAAATATGTCTGTCTGACCAGAGACCCTTGTCATCTGGTTCTTGAAAAATGGAACCCCGCCCAGTCCCGCCATGTCCGGTCGGGCCCAGGTTGTCCAATGGCAGCCTCTCCTTCAGTTCAGGGTCGTCTCTCAACTTCTCGACCGCCTGTTCGGTCATCTTTTGATACTCCTGCACCGGAGCGTCAACGTGCCGTGCTTGCAAGCAACCCATGCGCTGGTCAGTAGTCAGTAGCGGAAAACAAGTGGATTTTTAGCATCGGGTTCT